TCCATGCTTGATTGTAGTTGATATGGAATTATGACAATCATTACTGCTTATACGTTCTGTTGGCATCAGTGTCATTCACTGCCTGTGTAGTGTTGGTACACCGTTGTGTTGGTGACTAGAGAGAGCCAGGAACTTGGACTGTTCATTACATTGTTGAAAATCGCGAATTTAATCTAGCAAAATAATAGTGGTTATAATCATGAACACGTTATAGCTATAATACTTGTGTTTCGCCTCGAAACGCTCCTCGATTGCTGATGTGGCATGAAGCAACAATTCCTCCCGCACACTCTCATTGTCTATCATCACGCCGTAGCTACCAAATCGGTAAAGCAATTTTTATTTTGAAAGAAACCACGTACAACTTCATTGTTACGATTTGATGCAGCATATAACGGAAAAAAACATTTGCTGAGTTAGTGAGTATGGTTTTGAGCCACTTTTAGCAATATTCTACGAATATAACAGCAGGGGACACCATAAATGAAAAGGGCTTCACACATTGTACCCATGAGGGAAATCGAACCCGGGTCTTCAGTGTGACGAGCGAACTCTTTAACCACTAGGTTACCAAACCGCACCACACACTACATGAACCATGACAGGACAGGCACTATGTTGTTTTAACATTGCAACTCACATTATAAACAAACTTTACGACAGGACCCCTTAATTGTTTTGGTAATCACACTGTGTGGGTGCGTGCGTGCGTGCGTGCGTGCGTGTGTGTGTGTGTGTGTGTGTGTCAGCTTGTACAAGATGTAGGATGTGTTTTAAGTATGTTCCTTGGGGAAAACAACACTATTTTAAAACCCAGTTATTCTGACGGTGTAGTGTCAATTGCATAACTAATGCATTATTAAATGAGTGCTTGACGTATAATGCCGAATTTACGGCGGCTTAACATAAAGTAAACCGGTTTATCATTATAATTAGCAAGCACTCATGTCATAGGCTTGTGATGACACAATTAGGCACGTAACAGAGACTGACCACCCAATTATTATGATAATGTGTATTAATAGTGTTTACCTAATTTCATAAATGTAAATGTATGCTACGACGTCTTGGCTGGCACTTACGCTCTAAAGGTGTCTATTTTAAACTGGAATGTCGCAAGACAGTGCTATATCGTGTTTAACAGAACAACGTAGACTGAGGGAAAGGGAAAGCTGTCAATATTATCAGCAGATGATCAATCGTATCCTATTTATTTACACTTTTTGAGTGAAATTAGAATCAGAATTACTCCCCCCATGAGCTAAAGCAATGTCAATTGAGAATTACGGGTGTATATATTATGGACGCATCATTCACTAAGAGGCCATGTTATGATGATTTGTGACGGCGTCGGAACCATATTATCATTCGCAGTGGAAGTAGGAAAAGTGTATTTTCAGTAGCAGTGTTATTGTGTTGAAAATATATATAATCTCTTGACGTAATCAATGTGTAGTTACTTCTGAATGTATACATGTTGAGTGTGCTTCATAAATGGTGGGTGATGAGGGTTTACGTACCCCTGCAACCTCCTCCTGGATCCACATATGAATACCAACTGAACCTATGGAGGCATGGAGCTCCAACGCTAGATCACCTGGATTCACGAGCTATCAAGACACGTTCAGGAAATTGATATTGCGAAATATAGTCAAAATCATCTTAAACATCCAGTATTCTAATTCTGTCCTGGAACATACGTTCTCTTTGATATTCCCGATATTTATAATATCTGAAACAAATGCAAATATCGCTAAGTTCGTGTCAGTTACGAGTGAGAAGATTTTTTGAAAATGCCCTTGGTCTGTCTTTCATACACTGAGATTTTACGACTCATTGTAAACTAAATACATGTAGGTCGTGAAACCGTTCTAAACGTATTGTTTGTGGTTTGCTGCATGTTGGGAGCTCGATGTCGCCGCACTATCAAGCTATCGGGACCAGCACCCACTACCCTATGTTTGCAAGTGTCGACTTAACACGATTGTGCAGCGATTAGGTACTGTGACTCAACTGGGTGTGGGGGGCGGAGGAGTAGTCCTGTATTAAAGTCACGCCCAAGGCCCGGGTTCGATTCCTCACATGGGTACAATGTGTGTAGCCCATTTCCGCCGTGATAATGCTGGAATATTGCTAAAAGTGGCGTAAAACCATACTCACTTCTTTACTCACTGATTGTGTGCCATCATGCAATGACGGAGTGGTTCGTTGAATATTTACAGTGTGCCGTTGCATAGTTGGAATGTTGCTGACTACGCCGTGAAACAATAATCACTCACTCAGTTACGGGCACGAGTGTGCATGTTGTATTGTTTAAGTGTCTTCTTTTATGATAGAAGTTCAGCATACAGAGTATGACATGTTAGCCTAAAGGAATCTTACCTTCATGTTGTAATATTTATGCCTTGACGAGCAGCGTCCAGGGTAATCTGCCACTTACATGTACTGTTAACAATATTTTCAAATCAATAATACATACATATCACAGATATTTAATTATGTTTCCACCACTTCTACACAACCCCGAAAATCCGGATAAGAAGTGGTCTTCAGGAACCCATGCTTGTCGCAAGAGGCGGCAAACGGGATCGGGTGCTCAGGCTCTCTGACTTGTTTGATGCATGTCTTTCCAATTGGGTATCCCAATGGGGTAGGTAAGCTACAGACCGCAGCCATATAACAAACATGAACGTCCACACAATGGAGTCGAAAATGACCCTTGACCCTGTGGCATGACTGGTTTTGAATAACATGAATTTCGGACAAACACAAACAGATGCAAAGGCAGGAAAATTGTTCATCTGAAAACACGGGAACATTATGGTAAAAGTCAAAATAGGGAATTACATCTGACATCATTCATGCCACTGATGCTTCAAATGTGGAAATGTCCTTCATATGTTCACCACAAAACCTTTTTAAAGCTTTACTGCAACCTTGAATGTTGTAAAACAACTTCTGAGCAGGTGTCGAATGATTGAACTGTCGACAGACATAAAGGACGTCAATTCTGATATCCATAAGTAGTATTCATGTTTGAACAAAATTCGAAAGGAGATTCTGTATCAAGAGGGGACAAAAGATTTTTAAATTATATGCTCAAGTGCTAAATCCACGTCAACATGTGTCCGAGAATCCGTCCCAGTTGGAAACCGTCAAAAATTGTTTTACAGAATCGCAGGACTATTTGGAAAGACATGAGCAATACATGTACAGTTACAAGAACAATAGCCCCTTCTATGATGCGTCGGAGAAGTCCGATGAAAGTCTGATTTGAAAGTGCTAGCCTTGTGTGTATTGAATAACCAAGCTGAAATGATAATTCACCCTTCCAGCCTGGGGATGTTGCTACAGCACATAGGATACGAACAAGTTCTACCAAACGTGCGAGGCCACTTATGATCAAATTCTACCACAGGAATGGTAAAATAGTAGTTGGTCAATGAGCCCAATATAATAGTAACAGTGCTTCTAATACTAAATGTACAGTTGCATCAAAAGTAAGAGTACCACCTGTAAATTATCAGTAAACAGGGTACATCTAACGGTTGAGGGTGCGGCCACGGCCACATTTTTTTGTCATTCAATCTACTCTCAAGTGGAATGTCTATTTGGGAATATTTCTGTTATTGTGAACAAACAGTTTGATTTCTCAGGAGTAAGTGAAACGTGAGTAAAATACCGTGCTGTTTCGCAATATATGTATGACAATCTAGTATCATTTACAAAGGGAGAAAATTTCTTAGCATAGGCAAAATGTTCAGAATGTGACAAGTGAGGTTTGAATAACGCTGACCTGACTGACTGAGACTATATCGTGGGTACAATCTGTAGGGGTATATCACTCACTAACACACTCAATTGAAACATCATATTTATATATTTCTGATACCTTCTTTCAGTTGCTGTGATGAAGAAACTCAAGTTCTATGGATGAACAACTTCTTTATTACAATAAATAAAGGTATTGTAAGAAGTTGTTCATCCATAGAACTTGTCTTTCTTCTATTTCTGATACGTTATCACTGTTTAGCTTGAGACAAGATGATTAAGAAAACTATATCTGCTATCTTTTACAGGTGTAAAAAATGGTACTACACTAAAAAATGGGTTATTGGACGAAGGACCAATATGTATGATAAAACCTACTTCACATCATTCTTTTGAAATATGGACAAAGAACGGTTGTGTTTGCATCATTGCTCGGCAAGATTCACTAGCAACTCATGTTTTTATTATTCGGAAGACATCATTATGTTTCAAATATATTTTTTTCTAAGTTTAGAGAATACTTATTATTATTTGTTACAGATTAAAGAGGGTTTGGGTATCCTTGCACAGTCAGACTGGTTTAGGCTTATCATCAGCGCCGTGCCCTTGTGAATAATCCCCAGCACTGCAGCCTTCTGCATTGTCAGAAGGGCTGTATTCCTGGCTGCATACCCGGGTACACTATTCTCAATGTCAGTAAACAGATTGGGAGGTCTAAGGCCCCGAGAACAATGGGGAGTCGGACAATTTGGTACTTAGGGTGCAAGCGTGACATTTCGAAAAAGCGGTCCGCATATTTGCCATGCTTTTCTTGTCAATCACATTTGTGTCAAAAGGGACATAAAATTCAACAATATAATTAACTAAATTGCATTTATCAAAAAGGACAAGATCAAGTTTGTTGATCTGGATAGGTCTGAGATTGTCTACTGGCCTATTCCAAAGAACTCATAATTTTCCATGACGCCCTCTACATATTCCGCGTCATGCCATGGATGGACCTCTGTATCAAAACCACAAGCATGGCGAAGAAGGTAATAATGATCGAGATACTTCATCAAGTCGCTTAAGATACTATGTTTATGCAGTGGTCGTTCAGCTGCAGTGGTCGTTACCACATGACCTGTCCAGGCCAACCCACCTGATCACCCGATCCACCTAAATCATTTATATTATTGAATTGCATCCCAGGTACCATTTCATAACGAAGAGAAAACATACAAAGAGACTGAGTGACTCGTACCGTTTATTTCTGTGGAACAACCAACTGTTACCGATGGTAACTCAACACACAACTAACGGACGTATGGCAAGGGTTGAAACATGTGACCAAACTTCATAACTTTGTGCAATACATATATTTAATGAATTTGGAACTTCAATTTCATAATTATACTTTAAATCAACTCTAAATCAACTCTAAAATGTATCTGCATGATCACATCATGTTTGTCAGTAGAAGCATACGTCATACAGTGCGATCACACAAGGAGTGAATGTTTTGATAATTCCTTGAGAACTGTCCTGAAGATGGTCTCATGGGTCAACCTTGGTGTCAATACAAAAGTAAATGGGATATAGATACACCAACAGTAGAGTTGAAAAGTAGATTTGGTAACTTCAAAATAATCACATACAGTAGAGAGACATTCGTGATCTTGAGAAAGATAATATTATATTTGCAAACTGAAGACTCAATACAAAAATAATATCTTGCTACAGGAACATGCCCGCAACGACTGATACGATCAGTGATGTCACTGCAAAAGTCACGTGTTCACCTCCACCTGTGACGAAAGAAATGACATAATGTTGATATATATTGATGTTGCATCCGATGTTTGTTTGTTGTTTAACGCCGCACTCAGCAATTTTCAATTTATGTATATATGATGGCGGTCTGTAAATAGTCGAGTCTGAACCAGACAATCCATTGATTGACATCATGAGCATCGATCAACGCAATTGAGATACGATGACATGTATTAACACGATGCCATATCAGCGAGCCTGACCACCTGATCCCGTTAGTCGCCTTTTACAAGCATGGGTTGCTGAAGACCTATTCTACCCCGGATCTTCTAGGGTCTGTTGCATCTGTGTGGGTTACGTATCATGTTAATATGCTTATAATAGTTTTATATAATTTATATATGTAGTGCTTAATTCAAGCAAAAGCAAAAACCCTTTGCGTAATGACGGGGCTTGGGAAGAGCGATGCCCATACTCGGGCATTACTCCAGTGAGTACACCACACGTTCAAGTGATTGATGAACCAGAACATCCATAGTGCATTTACTAGTTTTGTTGAAACTAATAAAACTGATAAAAAATAAGTATATCGTTCCCACTACAACTTACACGTGGCTGCAGTTATCTTGGTATTTGTGTCAGTCAGAAGATCGGCTTGGGTGGTGCCACTACACCCTTCCTGGGTAGTGGTGGTGATGGCAGAGAGGCAAATCTTCAGAGCAGTCAGGGCACTGTTGGAAATAATGGATAACAGTATACAGCAACAAATATAACAGCGTCAACATCCCTTCCTTACTCAAAAGCAATCTCTGCTAAAAGCAGAACCCTATTGTTCGATTCAGACTATATCAAAAAACGTGTGTTAGACCCGTGAAGATTCCGGGGTAGAATAGGTCTTCAGCAACCCATGCTTGTCGTAAAAGGCGACTAACGGGATCGGGTGGTCAGACTCTCTGACTTGGTTGATGCATGTCATCGATCCCAATTGCGTGGATCGATGCTCATGATATTAATCACTGGATTGTCTGGTCGACGTCATATAGCTGGAATATTGCTGAGTGCGGCGTTAAACAACCAACCAACAAATCAACCAACTCTTGCATCGGGAAGATGGATGCACTTCCATGGTATTATTTTGATAGCTCAATAGTTTCTTTTGTATACGGACAAACAGATCAGATAGAAATTTTCATAAAGTTAAATCTTCACGGGTCAAATCTTATGCAATGACATATATTGAATATGTGCAGCTTTGAACAATACGTGATGGTTGCGAGGGTGGCGTCTGTCTGGACTTGCAGGTGTGATCAATGAAGACATAAGTGAGTATAACTCCTGACCCCAGCGGTGACAATTCACAGGATGTAATTAGTGTTTGAATGACATTGTCTATATGCTTGTTTTAAGTGCTGCTCAATAAACAGTGATGTGGAATACATAGACATACGCTCAAAACAAACAACTAAGTTGGTATTTCTGCATTCAGAAATGTCTTATTGTTAATATAAATGCGATGTGTAATAATGCGAGCAAAGACCACTGGCATGTTTCGCATTTAATTAACGCTCGCGTATACAGTGGACAACGTTATCTCTTTGAAAATCGGACGTGTATAAGTAGGACTCAAAGCATTCTTTTAACGGTCGCAGGGTGCGACATCAACAGAGTAGTCTTAAAGTGAATTCTAACAATACTCTACCATCATATTTGAGTATTGCAAGATTTCGTGGGGCTTAAATAATAACTCACGTGCACTTCTTGGCATCAGTGGAGATGTCTGCTTTAGCATAGTCAATCTCACACTGGCAGGTGTCGGTGATAGCTACAACACAGGTCAGTGATTAAACCAGTATGTAATGTCATTATAGCAAATGTAAAACATAACCACATGAAACACAGCTATTTTAGAATTGAAGGTTCAGTGGCAAGTCATCTGCAGAATATTTCTTTTATATTTTTTGCTTTTGCCCGTAACTACGGTTTGCCTCAACAATGCAAGAGACGCGATGAGGCAATACAAAGTGAACAGTTAACAATACTATAATATACAGTTTATAAACGACAGTTTACCACAAGCTGGAGTAGTTAGTGCGTTCATCCTTGACTCTACACCGGTAGCTAGGGTTATTACAGTGGAGGTGCCATCACAGGGCAGGGCTGTCTTCCCCTTTAAGCACGCGATGTAGGTCTGGGAGGCACTGTGGACAACAAATAAGGATGACGTCACAAATGACGCTGGAATAATATATACTACAATGTTACTAGTACGGCGTCACATGTAGTTTTTTGTATTTAGCACTCCAGTGTTTTCGTTCATGAGACATGATGTGTGTGGACGCAAATAGTGAAAGAGCGAGTGAGTTTGGTTTTACGCCGCTTTTAGCAATATTCCAGCAATATCACGGCGGGGGACACAAGAAATGGGCTTCACACATTGGTGACGCAAATACATTTCATAATCGAAAAAATGTAAATAAATGATAGCATTTTTGGACTAACAACATCGAAAATTACATCAAAGAAAATGTTCAAAAAAACTTGTCGGGGGCGGTGCCGTGGCCAAGTGGTTTTCAGACACTGCTTCAAAAGAAGCAATTTCTTACAGTTAACTTTCTTTTACAGAATATCTGTTGTCATGCCATCAAGCAGTAAACGCTTTCATATATTCAAAGATATTAAAGGTCCCCTATATATTCATATTTCAAATGATCGATTGACTAGCTATATAGTATACTTTGTTTTACCCTCATCAAATGGCATTATGATATATTACCTGCAAACAGCTGCATCACCTGTGCTTTGGTCAGTCTTCCAGAATTCTTTCTGACAAACACAGGTGTCCGTAAATGCTGGAAGTACACATGTAAAGAAATTGCAGATAGACATGAACATTAAAAGATGCAAAATGTATGTTGTACCCTTCCATGCATCTCTTGTATAATCTTTTTCTTAGATATCTATTATATGTAGATTATATTAATGAGAGCACCGTAAAGTATATATCTGATACATGCATTTTGTAGAACACGTTAGATAACACCCACCAGTCTTATCGGTTATCACCTACCACACGATTTATTGTCAAATTATCTTTCCGCATATACCTTTTCCTATCACCCTATGCAACATAAAATATTCCGTTTATCATCATTTTCACAGCGCAAACTCCACTCACATTTACATCACATCGTTCATCATGTAACTATTCATTTCAGCATGTACACATAACACTCAATTAATCTTCTGTCTATTCATAACACCGCTCATACTTCACACTAGCTTACTCGTATCTAGATCTTTATTCAGCTAACGAAAGACGTTCTCATTTAAGCCTGTGGTCAGGCCCTTAAGCATCCTAAGTGCATTCCTTCTATGTTACGCTGACCGCTCAACACTTTATCCACGTTGCCACTTTAACCATATCATCATTTAATTCCAAAACCGTCCAATGATTTGTGTACATAAACGTCCATCAACACATCGTCATTGCTCATTCAACCAAGTATGTATAACTTATAAACTGCAATGATCACTTCATGGTAAGCAATCAAACTCATCAAACTATAACTCCTCCCGTCTGTCTGCCAGTTCCTTTGCCCAATACCTCAAATACACATCTTTGCTATCAATATGATCCATTTTTATCCGTCTACATTATACATTGTTTGGATGACAAGGCATCAGCAGTTGTCTGCAGTCTCGTCGGGGATCCCCCCTTTTCCTCTGACCAATCTGTCATAGACTTATTATATCTATGCAGTTTATATTCTATTGAAGTGTCGACACATACATATATCAACATACATGTACTACAAGTATCTGCGGTATAATCCGTCTCTATTGTCCCGGCGTCAGCAGCAGGTAGAGGACAACCGGCGTCTCCCTTTGCAGAGGTCTCCAAACAGGTCAGGTACGTCTTCAGTGCACTGCGAAAAAAATTGATTCGCCTGAACATTGTACTTGAGCAACCCGTAGATGCATATATGTATGGTTATTCTTCTCGCTATATGGATGAAATACTGAATGTGAAATAAACAAAATATTGACTAACTCACATGTTTCGCAAATGCAAGTTCCAGTTGTCTGTAGTAGAAAGCAGTGTGCATACAACCCTTACACGACCTCATATCACAAACTGGTGGCAAATTTTATACATATATTGGGGTCTGGTTTACTACTTTGTGAAGCTTTCCGTTGTTTAGCAAAGTTTCGTATTTCGAAGATTATCCAAGATCAGGGAGACCTTCAATAGTCACCACAAAGGAAAATTGTGAAAAAATACATGATATGATCACCGCACGTCACATCGCCTATACAATAAGCATCTCCCAGTGAGAGTTGAAAATATTTTCCCGAACTTGAAGAAATGACTGGAAAGTCAGCTAGCCTGAACACCCGATCCGGTTAGTCGCCTCTCCCGACAAACATGGTCGCCTTTTGCGGCAGGCATGGGTTGCTGAAGACCTATTCTACCCCGGATCTTCACGGTACTAGAATTAATCTCACGCTTTTGGAAAATGAAATAAATCATGTTACGAAATTGAAATCAAAGCTAGATTTTTATATAAAGCAATTGGTTCTGCATGATCATGACGGGTGTTACTTTTACGAAAGTTCACTTAACGTTACGCCTGACATCCTATGCCGACACCAATACCAACCTTAAAGTATTAATGTGTACAGTGAATCGACATCACTGTAATGGTAATACACTGCGTGAAGTCTGCGGTTGAGTATGCAACATACTTTTACAGACTCACAAACTTATTGTTTCTTTTTCAATTACGACAATATAGATATTTCTTAAGTTCATTTCATCTTTTAGTTTTTTTACTTCTGGCTTGTATTCATTGCTATATACTAGTAACACGGAAACGTTATTAAATTCAGTTAGTTGGTTGCTGTATCTGTTATAAATATTGTTGTAGAAATATGAACTAAGCATGCACCTGTACATCATATTAGCTTTTCACTCATTTTACAAATGATAACTAAAGTATGATGTGCAAATAATATGTCTTGTAAAAGGACTTACGCGCATTTCGCACCGGCCGCGGGTGTGCCATATGCAGTTTTACAAGAGTCACACGTGTCTGCCGAGGTTGGCGGACAGTAAACTGGAATAAAATGTTACATGAGTTTTAGGCTGATAAAATGTGTATCAAATCACGAAATGCTCAGATCATGATTTTGTCAAAATGTTATGAATAATGTGGACACTATTTATGGATAACAACTTCATGTAATAGCTCCGTTTCGGTACAGATCTTTATACCGTTGCTTGATTGTGTCAACATTGTCGCAATCAACTTCTTTGAAATACCCATTGAACAATGTTATAAGTAGGTAGATTGAGATGTTTATAACCAAGTCTCACTGTATTCAGAACTAACATGCTCATGTGCAGCATCATTAAACACACATTAAAATGAACATGATCACTGAACCGTCACGCTTGTAGCCTTTGTGGTACAACCTCAGTACCTGATATCACTGATTGCATTTCTCTTCTTTCTTATTCAATAACCAAACATTATAACACATCAAGGTATACACTGACTTGGTTGATGTATGTCATCGATTCCAATTACGTGGATCATGATGTCAATCACTGGATTGTCTGGTCCAGACTCGATTATTTACAGACCGCCGTCATACAGCTGTAATATTGCCGAGTGCGGCGTTAAGCAACAAACCAACCAACAACCAAATCATAACTCCAAATGGATTACATGTTAAGTAACTAACGTAAATGTTAGATACAAAAGCAAATAAACAACTTACCCAGAAGAGCCACCATCAAGCCAAATTTAAACATGACTGGAAATGTTTGCCTGAGAACCGTTTCTTCGTCTGGACGGGGATAGTCTGCGAATGAGATCAGTGCGTCCCCCTATTTGTAACGCCCGTCTCCATAGCACCGAAATGTTGTGTCACATGGCCTGAACATAACAGTAACATTATCTCGACTATTTCAGTATTAAACATTTGGACATGGGAAGGAATTTGACTTAGCTCTAACCTTAAAATATTTACTGATATCAATTGAGAAAGGAATGAGTTTGTGTTAATGCCGCTTTGGATCGTAAAACTAAATTCAACAACATTAATCATGAAGCAACATATACAATAGTGTTTACGAATCATGAATAAGAAGAAAATGGGCGTTTCCAAAACAAATTGTTTGTGCAGGTCACATGCCTAGCTACGTCGATCAGATGACGGCACACCAACGTGGAGAACATGCAATACAACCAAGGGCAACAGTGTCAACAACGAAGGAGACAGATCACAGGGAGATATGAGACTAAGACACGCAAGATGTCCACCAATAATAGTACCAGCAAAGATTCCCAGCGGATCAGTGTCTCCATTGAATCATGACACCAAGTCATAGACGAGTGCACATGTGTCTGTCACACCCCCAAAAAACACTCAGATATGTAACTCGTTACAGGCAGGACTTGGCATGACGCAACTTGCTGGTACATCTGCAAAGAAGCCAACATCTCCGCGTAATTAGGTGCACCTGCCCTGCAGTGTATGGTATCTGGTGACTAATTGAAATATTGTCGTGATTTTAGTGATGTAACAAACCACACAAATACAATATACGGTGTTAAATAAGAAACGCAACATTGCTCACAAGTAACGGGTTTAGAGTTTAAAAAAAACATTCTGGTGTATAGTTAATAGTTCCTTCTTTGTGTAGATAATTCCATTTAGAAATCTGTATTGAAAATCTAAAAGTTTTACATCTTTCAGTTTATATCTATAAACAGTAAATATCGTTTTCCAATTAAAATCACAGTGAAAAATTGATTGCCATTGATCACAAACTTTAAGATTATTTTCATTTGATTTTATCATAAAAGATCACTTAAGCAATTGTTTATATACAAATTCTCTAAAATTATTTTTCTAGTTTTCTTGATTGTTGTTTTCCATGATTCAGATATGTTGAAGATTACATGATTCTGATATATTGAAGATTACATATCTACAGTCTAGTGTTGTACCTTTTATCGGATATTTTAGTTTTAGTTTTTCAAATGACATCAGTCCGTTTTCATTGCATATATCTTTAATTGAGTAAATTCCACTATTAGCCCATTGATTTATGTAGTATGTTGCTTGTTTGAAGTTGTGGTTAAACTATAATGTTTGGGACAAAATTTCTTCTGTATTATCAACGTTAATAATATTCTTTGTACAAAGGTTGTTTCAAGCTTTCAATACATCTTTCCAGTATGGGTTTTTAACGAAAGATTTCTTGTCAACATTAGCACCCAAAGATAGTATATCTTTAATTGGGATATTACGAGGGTTACTAAATGTTGTTTTTTATAATATAATCTGAGTGAAGAGAGTTTCAGTGCGTCAATAAAGGCTCTAATGTTAATCATGCGTAATCCACCTTCCTCATATTTTCTTGTCAAAGTGCTCCTTTTGATTTTGTCTTTTTTATTATTCCAGATAAAATTGTAAAATATTGTATCAAGTGACAAGACAAAGTCCTCAGGAGAGTTAGGTAGTGTTAAAGATATTTGAACTAGTTTTGACAATGCTAAAGTTTTTATGACTGTAATTTTTCCTATTATCGTTAGATTTCTTTTTCTCATATTTGCAAGCAATCTATTTCAATATCTTTCCTTCGTTACGGTATTGGGATAGTAACTTTGCGTTGCAGAGCGTCGAAAAATAACCTTTGTAAAACAGCAGGTTTGATAAAAATCGGTTAAAAGGGTTAGGGGTCATAAACCCTTTTATGGAGCCTGAATATAACAACCAGGTGGTCGTTGTAGAGAGGGGTTCTAAAAATGATTAGTCATTTGCACATCTAGACAAAGTAACGATCAATTAAATCTGCGAAGTTTCATGAAAGTTCGATAAGTATTATTTCATAGTGATAACCTTTAATGTAAAAGAAATATTATCTATCACTTCAACCCTTAATGTAAAAATGTTAATTTTTACATTAAGGGTTGTAACATAGCATGAGTACTGTTGAGGATTCTACATGATGTTTTGCAATGGTGTTAAAAGAATACATGATCCTGGTAAATGTTATTGCTATTCAAATGTTGTTGTTGTTTGTAATATGACATCAAACGTCTGTAGAAAGACTTTCAGTGATCATGTTTGTGAGGTTTGGCGGAGCAGTGGTTTTATTGGACCCCAATTACTTTGTGATGGTTGGGTCTCTCTTTGTCTTAGCTCCAAAGCCGTGACGCTTGGCAAGGGCAGCATTTGATTAATGAGAGTAGGTTATATCATGGAGGATACACTTGAGGGAGAGGGTTCTACTAATTACCATACCACAGGAAGAGACCTGTAGGCGTGCCGCAAGGAGGGGTAAACATTGAGCTAAAGCAGTGGATGTTTTCACGGGCTTGTTGAATAAATTCCTAGCGCTACTGTCAATATCTTCTACTTGATCTTTGATACATCATATTGGCAATTACAATATATATTTTGTCAATGCACATTAATAGTTTATTTATCAAATGTTTTAGAGTATTTGTCAATTGTGTTTACGAAACGATACTGTGGCTATCTCCACGAACTATTAAAAAATGGGCATAAGGTCACGGAGACGAAGACTATAGATACTATACCATATTCGAGTTTTTAGATGATAAAGTACATTATTTGGTATAATAAATTCAGTTATTGATATCTAGAGATTGATTTGCGATATCAGTAAGCATTTCATGATATAATAAAATCAAATTTGTGATATAAATTCTTTCTTTGGTATCCATAAATGAATTATTGATATCAAGTAAGGAATAAATAGTAAAAACTCGCCCTATATATTGTTCTTTGTGGATTGTATTGAGTAACGCGATTGCATCACGGTTATAGTGTTAAATGAGAGGTTTTTTTGCACCATAATTTCTTTCATCATGAAAAAGTGTTTAAAATCAACTTATGATTAACCAAGGAAATAATACTAACCCGACCTGTGTTTATCTATCTCTCTGTCATTATTATCGTTAACATGTGTTTACTTTTAAGTATTGATTAAGGAATGACACATCATCGTAACATATATGTATCGTATACATGTAGCACGCCGGTACTTTGATTCTTTTGCATCCGTTACCCCGAGTTACTGTCTAATGTTTCACCCCTCGTTTTCAGACGTGCCATTCAGACACATAAGTCAGGTGTGACAGATATTACAATCTCACTGGTTATAAAGATTTGATACATGCTGACTGACACTCTAGGGGGGCCAGTGATTAAGATAACAGATCAATACGCCTGCTTTAAACCTATTCAGTATGTACGTGGGATAACATGGCTGTATGTGTGCATTGTATGTATGGCTGTATGTACCATTACATGGATGTATGAATGTAAATTATGGGTGTGTATTTATGTATGCATGCGTGTGTGTGTAAATTATGTAAATGTATGTAAGCCTAGATTACAAAATAATGCCTCGGTCGTTTGAAGCCAGAAGGCAGGGGTATTCCCGGGAAGGAAGCCTACTCTCACAATGCAAGGGTTAATAATTCAGGTAATAAAATAATAGAGATATGTAAAAATCTTAACTTATTCATCTGTAATGGTAGACTGGGACAGGATAAAAATGTAGGTAAAACAACATGTAATGATGTTAGTGTAGTTGACTATGTTACAGCCTCCCCCTTGTGCTTACCTCTGTTTACTGACTTAGACATTTTAGACTTATCACCCCTGTATTCAGATGTGCACTGCCCAGTGTCTTTTTCTTTAGCCACCACTGTACTCCAAGAACAAACTGTAGGTATCCAGTCCGAAGTAAATACAGTACACAATACTCATCCGAGACCAAAACGTTATAATATAGATAGAACTAACAGGTTTCTACAACATTTAAATGCTGAAAAGGTAAACATTCTCACTCGGAAAGCACATGTGGCTAGACAAGGCCAAGCTCACCCACATCTGATCAATGACATAATTGAAAAGGCCGGGCACGTGCTGATAGACGCTGCACGCACTGCCTTCGGGACCCGGAGGCAGGGTGTCGGTAAGAAATATAAAATGAACAAACCATGGTTTGGAAAGGAATGTATAAATGCTAGAAAAAGATTTTACAAAGCAAAACACCGCTTGAAAAGATTTAATTCTATTTATAACAAACGCCTGTTAAAATATGAATCTAAGGCATATAAGAAATGTATGGATAAGCATATAAAACAATATAAAGATAACTTAGGTAAAATGTGAAGAGAAAAACACAAACACTCTCCAAAAGAGTTTTGGCAAATGTTAAAAGGAGATAAAAAAGATGACAATATTTGTCCTGAAATTGAAGAATTTTACCAGTTTTTTAAGTCACTCAATGAGACAACTCTAGAAGACCCGGAAATGAAACAATGTACTATGGATACTCAATATGACTGTGAAACTTTAAATGGAGATATCACACCTGATGACGTTATGATAGCAGTAAGAGAACTAAAGAGAAATAAAGCATCCGGTATTGATTTTATAGAAAATGATTATTTTATTGATAGTATTGATTTATTAACCCCTTTGTTAGTTGAACTATTTAACCTGATATTTGAAAAAGGTATACTTCCAGAATCTTGGTTAGTGGGTATAATTAAACCGATTTACAAGAAAAAAGGTGACCCACTTGACCCTTACTCGTATAGGCCAATAACTATCCTTAGTTGCTTTGGAAAACTATTCACCAGAATTTTAAACAACTGCTTAACTAAATTCCTAGATAAAAATAATATTCTCACACCTGCTCAAGCAGGATTCAGGAAATATTTCTCAACTGCTGACAATATATTT